ATCCCCCGGCCTCTCTCTGCAGCCAGGCTGCCTTATACGCGTCGCGCGGAGCGCGTCATTTACAACTCATTAGTGGGAGTGAACACAGAACGCGCACATCCGCCATCCAGACTGGACTGTTCACTTCGAGATCAAGGGCGGCGCCTCCCGTTCTCGCGCACCGCCAGCGGAGCCGCAGGTCTCAGACTTTGGGGAAAGGGGGACAGAGATCTCGGAGTGACGACCACCCGCGCGACCACCAGCCCAGCCACTGGGACCCACCGCGCGGTCAGGACGAGTAGGACGAGGTACTACCCGACCTGCGCCGCGACCCTCCCTCTCCCGCGCCCTACTGCCCTCCCCATCGGATTGGCGCCGGAAATGGCCAGCACGTGGCCGGAGCCGCAGCACGTTCTCGAAAATAACCCGCGCTTTGTCACTTTGCTGTCAGCGCGGTGACGTGCGGACACTTTCTCTATCCAGCCTCCTTCCTCCTCCTCGCAACTCGTTATTCCCCCTCCATCTCCATTCCGCCCCTCTCGTTCAGAATAATTGCAAAGGGACGTTGAGCAGCGTCTACCAAAAGTGTAATGGAACAACGTATTTTTCTTTTGGAAAAAAACTCAAACAGGAGCTTTTTCATTTCTGACCCCCGTTTAATTTTTGAAATATGCGGCGTCCTCCTGTGCGGGAGCCCTTCTCTTTTTGCCTCTCCCGCCGCCGACCTCTCCAGACCTCTCAGCGGGGCGGGCCGGGGCGAGACCCTTATTGGAACCTGGACGCCCGCTCAGCTCCGCCCTTCCCGCCATTCTTCAGGCGGCGCACGCCCTTGCTTCCTGATATGCCCTGAATTTTTGTGGCGTGGCGTAGCTGTGTGGCGAGGGGAGGGAATGGTAGCCGCCAACCCCCCAACCCCACCCCAATCCCTCGCATTGCCCACACCCGCCCGCCCGCGGGGATGCCGCCGCAGAGACAGAAAGGTAGAGAGATGTCAGTTGAGCGACGCAAAAAGTAGAGGAAGAAGCGAATGAGCTTGGGGCCGGGCGGAAGTCCAGTGGCTCTACAAAAATACTGCACCCAATGACGCATCTACCGTGCCATGTACCGTGTGTCAGGGCTGCGACACAGCGGTACACATGCGGGTTTGCTTACTCGGTCCACCCGTCAGGCGTCCAGGGTATGCAAACCCGCAACACTGTTGTGTCCGTGTCCTTGACACACGGCACAGTTGCTTTAGGGTTCATTCTAAACGAGGAAGGGGGTAGGGGGCAAACATCGCCGTCCTGCTGCTCCTACTCGCAAGCTCAGATCGCGCGCCGAGGGCCCGCCCTTGTGGACTCAACCTTGGCCTCCACGTCGACGTGCGGCGCCGGCGCGTCCGCCCGCGGGGCGGGTTCGTAATTATGTTTTAAATTGGGAGAATGAGACAGGCCAGTTGGAAGAGGGAAAGGGAAGAGGGGTTGTGACACGGCCTTCGTAAACCCTGCCTTTTGGTGTAGGGGAGCAAGGAGCGGGGAGACCCCCAGGCTGTCACTTTCGCCGCTCGACCATCGCCTTATCTGTTATCGCTCCGGACACTGGTATCATGGTATCGGCCTAGTGACTCCAGATTCATCAGCCCAACTCCCGGTGCCGCCCTCTGCCCTCTCGACGCCCAGCCCCGCCCCGCCCGCCCCGCATCATCATATTGCCATCAACAGGATGATAGCCACAACCCCCGGGCCAGGCGCGGCCCGCCCCCAGCCGCCCCCAGCCGCCCCCCAGCCGCCGCCTCCGCAGCCCCATTCGGACGAGCGCCTCCCGCCCCCTCCAAGTTTGCATGACACAGTCGATAGGCCCTCCGAGGGCCCCGCGGGGCCGAACGGAACGGCGGACGCGAAAGGGCGTAGGGCGTTGGGACGGGGAGAGGAGGAGGGGTAGGGTGGCAACTTTAAGGGGTGATGGCTCGGCCGCACTTTGAGCCGATGGTGTCCCGGCCCCGGGCATGGTACACACAGGCCGCCGCAGCCGCACGGCACCCCGCCCGCGGCCCCCGCAGCCTCCGCGCCTCAGCCCGGCACCACCGGCGGGGCGGGGGCGGGCGGGGAGCCTCGGCCACGGAACCGCTGGACGGGCGGGATCGCAGCGCGCCTTTTTCTTCCCCCGTGTTTGCCGCGGACGCAGATCCGACACAGGCTGCCCCGGCCGGGACCCGAGGTCCTTGTCTCCGTTCCGGCTGCAACGCAGTGCTCGCTCGATGGCACACTTCTTGTCCATCTCCGGCACGCTGCGCTAGCGCCAGTGGTCTTGCTCCAGCAGCTGCCGCTTCCCGTCCTGCTCTTGTGCCCTGTAGCGTCATACTCGCCGCCACCCCGTCCCCTCCTCCTCTTCCTCGCTCCTCCACCCTCACCCTTCTTCATTTTCCCCGCGTCCTCCCCGGAGAGCGCTGGGGGGCGAGCTAACCGCCGTCTTGTAAGGCGTGCTGGGTAAGGGGCGCCACGCCGCACCGCGCCGCGCCGCGCCACGCCACGCCACGCCACGCCACGCCACGCCACGCCACGCCACGCCACGCCACGCCACGCCACGCCACGCCACGCCGCGCATGGAATGGGCGGCAAATGAAGGGATTGGGGCCGGATGGCGAAAAGGGGGGCGGGCGGGGAGGGGTGAGGGCAGGACGGTATGTGTGTCAAGGCGAAAAAGTCTTAATTACGAACGCAGAGACAAAAAGAAACACAGTGCGCTCGTAGGCGGAGCGGAGGCGGACACTGCGAAGCTGCGAAGACCTCCCTCACCGAGTGAGGTGACCTCCTCTTCGAAAGGAGGCCGACTGCCATCGCGACCGAGTCAGCGACGGACGGATGTGCCACGCCGCCACCGTGGTGCCCCTTCTCACGGTGGTAGCGTTCGTGAATCGCCTTTGTCAAAGTACGGTCCGTGTACTTTTCCCGTCGCTGGCGGACATCGGGTTGCCCGACGGGATCGTCTCCTGTCTCCCCACCTGAGATCCCATACAAGCTTAACATTCCTTTCGTTTGGGATTCGCCGTCCGCCCTCCGCCCCGCACCCGCCGCTGCTCGCATTCTTTGACCACGACTCAGACTTAATTAATTTCGCTACGCGTCGCTGCTTGGTTTCACCATGGTTTCACATCGTTTGCATGCTATTTGCTCCGCTGTCGCCTCCCGAATCAGGAGCAAGGGTCGTTTGGAGATGGGGGAGGGGTAGGCAGAGGCAGGCAAGCGCCTGGCGCTGCTGGTTGTACCCGTTCCACAGAGAGAGGGGCGAGGAGGGCGCCTAGGATTCCTATTCATGGATTTGTAATCGACTGTCCTGGGACCCGGCGCGGCGCGGCGCAGCAGCGAGGCCTCCGACAAGCGTCGAGAGGGGCGGGGCCGGGGGTTGGGCTGGAGGAGGTTGCCCAGGCTCCGGGCGCTCCAGGCGGCGGTAGCGACGTTGCTACGCTGATCCTATCTTTGAATTATGATGACTTGTGGCGTACCGTTGCCGTGCCGCTCGGAGCCGCTGCTGTTGGCAGTGCTTCTGCTGGCTGCGGGCGCGCGTGTTGGTAGCCCCCACCCCCCACCCCTTCCACCCTCCCCCGCGTTATGGTCACGGATGGTGAAATGATACGAAAATACTGAGAGAAAATAAAGAGCAAATCTGGGCCAGGTGGGGGTGGGTCGGGTCGGGTCAGGTCGTGTGGACGCGGCCGACCAGCTCCCCACCCGCCCGGTCTGACCCTACAGCGCAATGCCGCATCGGCCCATGCATATATGTGTGCTCACAGGTCGAACTTCTCGTTGCTGCTGAGGACGGGCACTTCCACCTGCTCCGCGACCTCCAGGAAGGACAGGTAGTGCTCGACCTCGCTCAGCACGCAGCCGACGAAGTCCAGGTGCTTGTCGGCGTCGCACTGCAAGAACAGCAGCCATTTCAAAATGCGAATCAAGAGTTAAGAGGATTATTGTTAGTATATTTCCGAAACATGTTATGTTATTTCATTGGAAGAAGTAAATAAACTTGGTGGTATGCGCACCTGCAGCATTTGCGCGCACCGCATTAGCTCCCACAGTGACGCCAGCTGCAATATTGTCAAGGGGCGAAGGTTAGAGAGTTGGGTCGATCACGCTCCTAAAAACCGAATCCTTGAAGTAGGCCGGAGTAGGTATACCCTACCTTTTCTTGGGCGACCGTGGTCTCCCAGTGCCTCTTCACGGCCTCGTCGGCCTGCCTTACGAACACCCTCTCGGCCTCGAAGGTGTCCTCGAACCACCTGTCGAGGTCGACGGCGAACCGAGCCCACGAGACGTCACCCGTGCTCGCGAACTGGAAGCCCTGGAAACCCTGAAATCCTCGGGTGCCCTGCAAGCCCTGCAGGCCAAGGGCAGGGACCTGGAGGCCCTGTAAACCCTGGAAGACGTTGTAGCCGCCCGGCGGCGGTCCTTGGCTGCCTGGCGGTGGAAAGCCCAGGAAGCCCTGGAAAGAGGGCGGTCTGAAGACGGTCATCCCCTGAAAGCCGAGAGGTGTCGGGGCCGGGGAGGTGGGAGCGAGCGGCCAGGGGGATGGCAGCATGTGGGTGTGCCCGGGGCCCCCACGGCACAGGTGCGCAGGGTGTTGGTGCGGCTGGACGAGGTGGTAGTGGTGCGGCAGCAGCGCGGGGGGGATTAGCCTGGAAAACAGGGCGGAGAAACATGAGGGACTGGCTGACCGAGCCGAGCGGAGCCGAGCGCCTGCTGCTCGCACGGCCAACGGCACCGGCAAAATCAGAAAGAGGAAGAACCACGTGCATGCATGCATAAAGCTCACACGCTCGCATTTTCAATGGCAAAGATTTTACCTCTCCTATCTGAAAAAAAACAACAAAACACAACTAACTGAGGTAAGCAATCAGTGTGAACTTTTTTCGCAAACTAGAAATATGTTCTCGAGTCGATCGGGTACACCAACCTACCGTGCTGCAAAAAACGAAAATCGTAAAGAAACTTTGCCTCTGTAAAAATAACAGTGTAAATTAATTTTTCAAAGTGCCACCTACTCCTCGTTAGTTCCGTATCTCTGCGCTACCAGGCCGTGCGGTGCACACTATAGTGGTGCGATAGGTCCGCATTTCCGGAACGGGAGGGGCGTTTGGTTCAGCCTGTTGGCCTCGCAGCGAAAGGGGTCGGCTTGTGTGTGGTGTGCGTGTGTGTGTGCGTGTGTGTGTGTGCAAAAGGGGTGAGGGTGTGTGGGGGGAGGACAGTACAGCTTCCGTCACGGCGGGTCTGCGGCCCACCACAGGACGTCTTAATGCGCTGTGTAAACTGCGGCCATCCACATGGGGAGGGAGGGCCGTGGCGGGGGACGGCAAACGGGAGCATGTTTTGTCCGGCAGTCCACGCCCCGCCCCGCCCCGCCACGGGGCCGGTGCGAGAAGTTGTAGTCGTAACCGCCGAGTGTTTGCAGCGTTTTGTGATGCGGCTTTTGCTCAGCCCGGCCAGGCCCGCTCACACCACTCACTCTGTGGCGCCGGTCTCCAGCCGAGGGAGCCTCAACTCCACCAACATTTGTGCACAGATCGCATGATTCGCCGGATTGAACACCATAAATTTTTCGTTAAGAAGTTCCTAGCGGCGGATCATTTTCAGTGCCTATGATTTAACAATATGGAAGCGTGAACACGTAATGGTCACGCAGCGAGGTAGGCGTTAACCAAACCTAGAGTTCGGTTTTGAACTTTTGAGGCACACTGCGTTCGAAATGTTTACCGTTACCGGTTATACCGAGTTATTTGCTAAAAAGGGGCACATTCGATAGTTTGATTGCTGTGAGCTGTACCCCCACGGCGCCTGTTCCCTTACTGTCGAGCGCAGAGGAACACGGGCGATAAGCCCCGGTAGCGAACAGGGCGCAGCAGGGGAAAGGGGGGGGGACAAATTTATGCAATTGTCGTCACTGCATGTGACGGACGCGGGGCGGGAGGCCGATATGCAAGACGAGTTTGTTGTGAAACACACACACAAACACACACAAACAGAAACACGGGCACACACACACAAGCAGGCCTCTACACATGGGTCCGCTCAAAGTGGTTGGTCCGCATGTTTCGCGGTAACTGAGGTGAGAGCGGAGGTGTCAGAGAGGGCGACTTTGTGGCAGGGAAAACTTTTGGAGGCTGCGTGGCGGAGCGTGGCCGAGCGTGGCCGAGCGTCGCCGAGCGTGGCTGAGCGTGGCCGAGCGTGGCCGAGCGTGTGCGGCGGGGCGCGGTGGAGCGTGTCGGAGCGTGGTGGAGCGGGGCGTGGCGGGGCGCGTCTCATCAGCGTGCTGTGCTGTGGCGCGTTGCTGCTGCGCAATGCTGCGGTGAGAGGCGGGCGGCGGTCGCCTGGCATGGGAGAGTGGCGTGGCGCAGCGTGGCCGGGCGCACGCGTGGCGTGGAGGCGTTGCGGACAACCAGGCTGTGGCGTGTTAAAAGTGAGGCGGGGGATGCGAGGGGGTGGACGGTGAGCGACAATATACGTTACGCGGACGGGGCGTGGCGTGGCGTGGCGTGGCGTGGCGTGGCGTGGCGTGGCGTGGCGTGGCGTGGCGTGGCGTGGCGTGGCGTGGCGTGGCGTGGCGTGGTGGGGCGGGCTCGACCGCAGAAGAGCGGAAGGGAGGCGGGCGGGACGGACGCCTGCAAGTAGACTGTCCCGCCACACACGGCTGCCGAGCCTCCCGGCGAGTTGCCTATCTGCCGGGCGCTCACCGTCCTGGAAGTGTTGGGCGTCGTGCTCGGGCGAGTGGGACACCTTCCCCGCCCCAGGTCGGGTGTGAAGGTAAAGCCGGAGACCCTGTGGTAGGTGCGTCTTTTTCCGCGCCCTCTGGCACCGACGCCGTATGGCAGGGGCTCGCTCTACTAGTGGTGGGTGGAGCTCGGGTACAATCGAGGAACAAAATGCATACTCTCCATAGAGGCGGAGGAGCTGGGGTTGTTCCACGCGGAAATTCGAAACAATTATAATGAGGTCTATACTCGTGTTACTTCCCATACAAGCGCGGCATGCAACGACGA